GCTGATGAAGGGAGAAAGCAAACCACTGACTTAAGCTCTACAGTAGTATCTAATGCAGTAGTTTTTATGTAATGTCTCTGTACGTGATTATAACCAACGCTCAACAACTGTCCCTTAAGAAAATTCACGATGCAACTTTCTAAACACAATTTAGAAACCAATTAATTCCAATAAAGACTTCTTTACAAAAAACATATTTAAGGGTTTCTTTTAAAAATCAAACTTCCATTGCACGTAATTAAAGAATCATAGGCCTAAATGAGTCTCCTATGATCATATTTACAAATAAACTGAGACAAGGGGGTGATAACTTAGTTATTGTCACCCAGTGTTTTATTGAATGGAATGTGTATATGTAGCTGTAATAAAGAATGAGGACATTCTATATGAACTGAAATGGAGAGATTTCAGAATATAATGTCTAGTTAAAAAAGAAAGGTACAGGCTGATCAATCTTAGGGGCTTCTAATGTGGAGCAATCAGATAGTTGTGATGAAATCTGAAACCCACAGCACTAGCTGTGAAATATTCTTGCCAAAAAGTCAAACCTAAATCTAACCAAACCTCTAGTGCTGTTTTATTTATAGGAAATAGAAAGAAAAGAGAAATAATTTAATGACACCACAAGGAACAGACAAACCCAGAATGTGGAACATTCCACAAGACAACTGACTGATGTAGCCAGCCAATGTAGGGGGAGGGGAGAGGAGGGAAGACTGTACTAGATTGAAAGGCAGTTAAGAGACATAACAACCAAATGCAATGTAGGAACCTAACTGGGTCTAAATTTAAACAAACCTATTATAAGAACTTTTTTTTAGATAATCAGGGAAATTTGATTATGAATGGAAGAATTATATGCAATTGGATAGTGCAAGATAAAGATACAAGCATAGTCCTAATTTTTTTTTTTTTTTTAAGGCCAGAAAGCCACCACAGGCCAGAAAGCATTTCTAGAACTCTTCCTGGCACCAGACAGAATTTCTTAAGGGACAATGAGCTAGGCCTTGTCAGGGGCAGATTGGCCTGAGCAAATGCGGAGTGGAAGAAGCCTGGCCAGAATGTTAGCCAAATTTTTGTTCTTTGTTAGCAGCTTTATTGAGAGATAATTCACACCACATACTGTTAGTAAATATGACCCCTGACCCCTTGCTTAATCCACTCCACCTTACACTCCAATATGGGCATTTGCTGGTTGTTATTAGTTATGTGAGCAGACATATTAAGGACACACATGAAATTTGTGAAACATAGTTTATAGTGGAAAATCCGGAGTTTAGGGACTAAGTGTTCTCATTTGAAATCGGCTATCACGTGCCTTTGGGCAAATCAATCTTCTCGGGTCTCAGTTTCCCTATCTATAAAATGAAGAACTTAACTTTGATCTCTGGAGTATCTACTGGCTCTGTGATGCTGTGAAATGCACACATTGATGAAGCTGGAGATTTATATTAAATGCATTTAATGGCATAAAGGTGGGCGACAAGAAAATTCAGGAAGGAAAGACAGAGGAAGATTGTGGGTTTTCAGAAACAATTCAGCTTGTGAGCTCCATTCCCTTTTGTAAAGAACTCTTGGCTCTTAAGGTTTCCAGACAAAAGTCACCCTCCCAGGGCTGAAACTGTTTGGGTCTGAGATGTTTCTTCAGTGATGGACAGTGTGGCGGTAATTTAACACTTTCTGATAATTTATGCCTGAAGCCCCTGGTGTGGGAGGGGAGGGGACATCTTGTGTATATGAGGGGAATAGAATATGGAGGCCCCCTCAATTCCCCTTAATTTCACCCCCAGTAGGGAAAAAGGAACCTTGCCAACAGGACTGAGTCTTCCCTAAGTGGAAGAGTTTGAAAATTTGAGTCAAAACCAGAATGTTAGAGCAGGGAACTATGCATATATCACCTAATACAAATTCTTCATTTTATAAGTTTTATAAATGGGGAAACTGAGAGCCACCAAGGTTATGTGACATAGGCCAATTTGTTTCAGAACAAGGCTAAGAATTAGGCTCCTGAGTGGAATGGAAAGGGCCCATAAGTGTAAGGATAAGGAACATGCCATTCACTGTGGTATTCTTCAGCTCCCGGTCCAGTGCCTGACACACGTGTCAGCAATGGTCTCACGACCGACCAATAGACTGATGTTCTGAATGAGTGCACATGTTTCTACCTTGTGTTCCCTGGTGCCCAGCTGGATCCACACATGGTCCATTTCAAACAGAGGACTATTTCATCGGAGGTATCAGAGGACTCTCTTTACTTGCTGACACTTTTCTGGTCTGACTAACACTTCTTCCTTTGAGTATTGCTTCCTCTTTGTTAATAGGTTAAATATCAGAGCCTTTGTTAATAGGTTAAATATCAGAGCCCTTACAGGATGTGTGTGGTGTAGCATGACTGAGAACTGGGGTTTTCGTTGATGTGACCATAGACTTGGCAGCATTCACAGAGGAGAGCTCGGTAGTCAGATGCCTTCGTGTGCTGGGCTGGCACTCAGGGAAGTGGCCACCGCTGTCGTGATTGCGGAGTAGAGACGCAGTTGCAGGAAGTATCCAGTTCAATTGGAGAATTAAAGCGGCCCGTAAACAGAGCCATTCTTTCACTTTCTTCTGCAGAACTCATGTTTTCACATCTTTCCTTTGACTGTGTCCTGTGGTTGCTACTACTTACAAGTAAGTCTGGGCATGGACTTTTGCAATGGGCTAGGGCAAGATAAAGATGCGAGGGTTGTCGTAATGTTTGCAATAGAGAAAGTTTGGAATCAACAGCAATGTCCGCCAATGGGGAAGTGAACAAAAGAAATAAATTGCGATATACCCATGGTACAAACAGTGAAATTGACTATACGTAATGATATCAAATGTCTAAGTCATAATGTTATTTGAAAAACTTCAAGGAGCACAATAATGCATATAATAGACTTCTATTTGAGTGTGTGTGTGGCAGAGTGTGGGAATACACGAATGCTTCTTAATGTGTAAACTCTATAAAGGGAAGCTGGTAAATGGGAAAGAGCAGAGAGGGAGTATATTTCATATACCCTTTTCATACTTTTTGACTTTATTATTTAACTACAGCCTTTCCAAGGATTAACACTACTGAGGAACATGGCTCAGGTAATTAATTATACATGGGATGTAGGAGGAAGCCTTCAGGTAGTTTGAGTTCTGAAGATTTTGAATATAGGAAAAAGATGAGAAAACACTTTAACAGTTAATTTTTTTTAAGGCAATTTTAAACCTAAAAATAGTCACACATTAGCTTCTTATTTAAGGAAGGGTTTTTATTCACTATGTGCCTGGTGCTTAAGAAAAAATAGAGAAAAGGAAGAGAGAATTGTGTTAGGATAACTGACTTTCGTTGATGAACAGACAACTAGTAGAAATGGCTGAGCTGTTCTCCTGGCTGACAATGACTGTCTGTTTCCATCAGCCCTGCCCTCTGGTGTTCATAAGACTGGGCCACAATTCTCTCCTAGAGCATTGGTTCTCCAGTGAAAGTCCAAGACCCGCCATATCAGCAATTCCTGGGAAGGGGAACTTGTTAGAAATACAAATTCTTAGGCCCTACCCCAGACCTATTAAATCAGGAACTCTAGTAGTTGAGCCCAGCCATCTGTGTTTAACAAGACTTCCCGGTGATTCTGATGCCCCTCGAGTCTGAGAGTCATTGTCATAGTGAATCATCCTCCAAACAGGATAGCAGCAGTGTCTTCTTCATTCTACAAGGCATTACTTGCAGTTTTCCCGAAATGGAACAATCTCACTCATTGCCTGCATCCTGCTCTCCTTTTCTTTTTATTCAGAGTCTTTGAAAGGATCGTACATAGTTGAGGTGGGTCAGAATGCTTATCTGCCCTGCAGCTACGTGCCAGCCACCTCTGAGGATCTCGTGCCTGTGTGCTGGGGCAAGGGATCCTGTCCTGCTTTTCAATGTTACAGTACGGTGCTCAGCACTGATGGAAGGGACTTGAAATATCAGATATCCAGAAGATACAAACTAAAGGGGAATTTATACAAAGGAGACGTGTCCTTGACCATAGAGAATGTGACGTTAGCCGACAGTGGGACTTATTGCTGCCGCATCCAGTTCTCAGGCCCAATGAATGATAAAAAATCAAACCTGCAGTTGGAAATCATACCAGGTGAGTGGACCTTTGCATGCTTTCTTTATGAGTAAGGTTCATTTACACATCATATTAAATATACTGATTGGTCTTATCTCTGACCTCCCACACCCTGGGGGTGTGGGCTCCTATGACCTACAGGCCCATTAGCAATGTCCAGCCATGTTTTATCCCCTACCTATATTGAAACTCATAGAAGAGATCTATGAAATGGGAAGAGAGGCCTGGATAAGTAGTTTGAGACCCTGACTGCTCATTAGACTCACCTGGGGAGCTTTGTAACACCTACGGATTCTTGGGCCCCACCCGCAAACCAGAGAAAGCAGCATCTATGAAGGTGGAGCCTGAGCACTGGGGTTTTACAGAGTCTCCCCCAGGTGATATTCCCCCGTGTATAGCCAGGATTGAGACCCACTGCACTGTGCATGTGTGTGGTGGTGGGATGCAAGTGCATGCATGTTTTAAGATTTACAGAGCATGTACTTTGTGGCTGATGGAGCTAAGTTCAGTTCCACTCTGACTCTTACTTAGCCGTGTAATCTTGGACAAGTTATTTAAACTCTGTGACCTTCTCCTCTGTGAAATATAATACCTACAATATAGGCCATTAGAAGAATTGTAGGAGCTGTTTTCAGAAAAGCATTTAGTGTGGCCATCTGTGTGGCTATTAGTTCTATTATTAACAATTAGACTGACAATGATGACTGTAACACAGTTCTTAAATTTAGTGTGTGATAAACTCTCAAAGAAAGTGTCCAGGTTTGAAAGTTGAGCATGTGTTTCTCTTTATTTGTTGTGTTTCCTGTTTTTCCTGCTGCCCTTTTGATGCACTATACAAGCTCTCTGCTCTCAGAGAAGCCTCATCCTTACATTGGTTTTTGACATTAGCCAAGGTCACCCCTGCTTGGACTGCATGGAGAGACATTACTACAGCCTTTCCAAGGTTACTCACCACCGAGGGACATGACTCAGGTAATTATATATACATGGGGTGTAGGAGGAAGCCTTTAGGCGGTTTGAGTTCAGAAGATCTTGAATATGGAAAAAAGATGAGAACAGTTTAAGAGTGAAGTATGAATGCTTCTGTATACCTGAGAGAATATTTGAGGCGAGGGAGGTGGTTGAGATAAAACTGTGCTGGGAAAAATGAGCCCGTGGCTAGGACCCTTAGTTAGATACAACCTAGCCCAGGGCCAGTGCCTTTCAGTTCTCTGAATCTCAGCTTCCTCTTCTGTCCAGACACTTTTAGATTTCATGACCCACTAAAATTCCTGATCCCCCTCCTCCACCAAAGGAATTTCTATCTACGTATTTTGCCATGTAAGGAAAGCAAAATTTCTAATATTACCATCACTGCCAAAAAACGACAGTCTTAAATTAGGTCAATCTAATCTAATGAAAAACTCTACATTATTCTTATAATTTTCTGATTTATTCCTGGACTGGTGATATTTTGTCTTGAATTGGTCACAGTCCATGTTTGATTAGGTGATATCTAGGACCCCTTCTAACTGGAATAAAACCTAGCAGCATCCTCAGATTTTTATCTCAGTAAGAGCAGCTAAATTCTTTAATTAGTTTAGCAAGGACTTTTCCATGCTTTGCTGGAAGAGAAGATAGGATCAGAAAAGCAGATCTCAGGTCACATTGATCAGAAGGGTTCATCTTAAATATTTTCTCTCAGAGTTCTAGTCTTTCTTAAACTCTCTGGAGCTCAGATTTTTATTCCATGAAATGAATTTAGTAATAGGTAAGTCTCATTTCCCAATCACATAAATCTCATCAGTCTCACTTTATGAGGTTTAAATAAGAAAATGTGACTAATGTGCTTAACCCAGTGTCTGATTGTAGTATATACTCAATACATGTTAATTAAGTTGTTAACATTAGCAGTAAGATCCGGAAGCAGAATGAGATGGTGGGCAAGTGCTTCGGTGATAGGTAGAATGGGTTCTGATGTCACCTCCTCATACTAGCTTTGTAAACTCAGTAAAGTTGCTCAAAGTCTGTGAGGCTTAATTTCCTCACCTCTCCAATTAGAGTAATTCCAGTGCCTACTTCATAGGATTGTTGTAAAGACTGTATGTGATAATGTAAAGTGCTCAGCATAGTTCCTGGCCCACAGAAAGCACTCAAAATTAGTTATTATTATAGTTATTAAGTTCAACTCTGCAAAGTTTTAATCTTTGGTGATTCTTTAGTGATTGTTGGCCAGTATCACTTATGCAGTTAGTGAGGAAATGAGATATGGTGGGAACAGATGATCACCCCCATTGTGGGCTAATCAAGGAATTCCAGACATTTATTGTATGCTATTATTATATTTTAAAAAGTCCTACAACTGTAGACCTAGAAGGGACTTGAGGGGTCGTTTCATCCCACTTTTCCATCCTGTGCTTCAGTGTTCTTTGTAACATGCCCCAAAGTGGGCATTTGCTCTATGCCCACACACTCTCCTGGATGGGGGATTTCACTTCCCTCAAGAGGCAGTACATTCCTTAGAGTTATCTATACCATAAAAAGAAGTCTCCTTCCTTTTAGTTTTTACTTGTTTGTTCCTTCCCTTTAGGCAGCAAAGATGGGGCCATCTCTTTCTTACATCAGGGAATATAGGCATAGACCTATACTCTCTAAGCTTTTCAAAGGCCTGAGAAAATATTTAAACAAATAAATCAAAAAAAAAGAAAGAAAGAAAAAATGAGCCTGTGGCTAGGATTCTTGGTTAGGTACAACCTAGCCCAAGGCCAGTGCCTTTCACTTCTCTGAATCTCAGCTTCTTCTTCTGTCTCCAAAACAGGAAAATAAAATTAAAAATTCAAATTAATGATATTTAACGGCATGTCTATAATAGGTAAGTAACATTATGTCAGTTAGTTACCCTCAAGATTAAAAGAGATTTTTCATGTAAAGTGTTAAACACCATGTCTGGCACATAATACTAGATGATAACTATTAAATTTATATACTTTGAAGACCATCACATTCTACCACTGCTGCCTCCACCACAGCCAACTCTTAGGTTCCCTAGAAAAAACATTACAACTTCCTCCAACTGTTCTACCTATCTTGGTTGATGTCTATTTATGTGAAAATAAGCTGTGATGACCTAAAAGGACTTTATTTTATTGATCGTTTTCACTGTTAAATGAAGTGAGAGAGAGAGAGAGAGAGAGAGAGAAAGAGAGAGAGTGTTAGACAGTTTACCATTTAGGCCAAGAAAGCAGAAACTAGATTTACGCTGGGAAATCTTGAGTGTGGTTAAGATTTATGTTTACTTAATGGTTCCATTAATATGGTTTTTATACTTTAAATTCCCTTTGGGCAATAAAACAAAAATCTAAGTGGAAGATAATCTCTCTTTTATTTATAGTTTTAGGCCAAGACTATGCTATTATAATATTAAAATCATAGTCTATTAAACAAGGAGTACTATATTAAAGGATTTGTACTTTTAGGCCTCTGGAAAGTGACCATGACACTTAAGAATTTTCAGTCTCTGACTCAGCCAGAAGGATGAGTAGGCATACTTCATTTTATAAAGCTGACTATTGATATTTAAGATGCAGAGTCTATGACGTTAGGGCCCATGCCCCTCTTGTTCACTGCTCTGTCCTCTATTGCCTGACAGAGTAGAGGTTTACTACATGTTCATCAAATGGATAGGCATAAATAAATTTTTTTTTGAATAAATAAATAAATAAATAAATAAATGAACAAATAAATGAACAAAGAGGAAAGAAGGTGAGCTAGCAGCTAGGCAATGTGACACACTTAATAGTAGTGACAATGCTGATGCAAAGGTTGTTGAAGGCAGCAGAGTTAAGAATGTATGCTTATATTTATAATAGCCTGGATATGGAAGCAACCTAGGTGTCCATCGATAGATGAATGGATAAAGATGTATATACAATGGAATATTACTCAGCCCTAAAAAAACAATGCCATTTTGCCATTTTTGACAACATTCATGGACTTAGAGGGTATTATGCTAAGTGAAATAAATCAGACAGAGAAAGATAAATACCTTATGTTTTTACTTATATGTGGAATTTAAAAAACCCAAACAAATGAACAAATAAAACAAAAACAGACTTATAGTAACAGAGATCAAACTGATAGTTGGAGTGGGGTACTCGGTGAAAAATGTAAAGGAGAATATAGTCAATAATATTCTGATAAGTCTCTATGGTGACAGACGATTGTTAGACTTAGTATGGTAATTATATTGTAAGATATACAATATACTATATTGTACACCTGAAACTAATATAATATTATATACCAGCTATACTTAAATTAAAAAAAAAAAGAATGTATGCTTAAAGCCATGCAGACCTAAATTGGAAGACCATTTCTGTCATTCACTAAGCTGTGTGACCTAGGTTAAGTCATTTAACTTCCTAATTCTCAGCTTCTTCATCTGTGTAATGGGACTGATTGTCCCTACTTTAGGATAGTTGTTTTGAATGCTGAATGAGCTACTTCAAGAGTTTAGCACAATGCCTGCTGATGGTAAATGTAGCTATAGTTATTTTTATTTTCATTTTTAGGCAACTGAATACCCTCTCTCCCTCTTATTGAGAAAATTCCAGGCTTTTTCAGGAAAATTAACTTTTGTTATCTGTCGAAGCCTAATTACAATGTAATGCTTGCCTGAGTGTTAGCAATGTTGTTGGAATTCTGCAGACCCTGTTAGGGCCCTGTGAATACAACAAACTATGTATTCAGTGGAGGTCTTCCTGGCAGAAATCCCCATTTCATAAAACATAAGTAGCTGGGTTCATTTCCTGGATGAAAAAATGTGGTCATCCTAAAGTTGATTTGTGAGTATTTAGTAAATTTTGTTGGTCTCCCAATTAATTACTGTCAAGAGTATGGAGTAAAAATAATTTCTAATAGGATTATAGGATTATATTTAAGATTGTTTTTAACTCAAATGAAAGAAAACATTTTTAATTGTTCTGTTGGGTATTCTCTTCTTTGTGTCAGAGACGCAGACAATGGAGACCTTCGATGATAGAAGTCAAACAGTAAGTAACTTTTTTGTGTGTGGGAGCTAACATTGTGTTTAACTCAGAAAAGCAAGTATGACTTTAGCCTTCTTTCCAACCCATTCTTTCTTTTGGGAAAAAAGGCTTAATCTCCCTTAGCTTCAGATTCCTTGCTTTGACATGTTGATGATGACAGTAACTACATAGACCTGTTGTAAGGGTAGAATGAGATGATGCATGTAGAGTGTCTGGCACATAGTAAGTGCTGGAAAAACAAAAGAGGAAGCATTAGCATTTTGTCCTTCTCAAAGTTCATAGCTGTATACCACTGTGAAGAATTCAAAGATCCTCCACCTCCCTAGAATATGTTTCTTCTTGTTTCCGTTGCAACTCAAATGAGAAAGATTTTTTTTTTTTTTTTTGTATAACAAGACACCAGTCAGGAATATTCTAAACCAGGAATTTATGTATCTAACTATAAATAAAGCAATATTACCACTAATCACAATTTCAGTGTTCTCTCACCTTCTTAGAGTAAAAAGGGAAACCACTAGAAAGCAAATTTGTAGTAATGACTTAAAAGTTCTTTGAAGACCTATTCATTTGATTTAATCGCCTACTTGTGTGTTCACAACTGAGGCTCAGCACTTTGTATTTCTCCCTGCTCTTTTTTGTAATCAAGGACTGCTTCTGTAGTACCTCTGTGTACCCACATGCTTGATGCACAGTACCTTGCATGTAGCATCCTTGACTTCATTGTTTTAAAAATGTTTAGTATTATTTTTAAAGGGGGGTGGGCATGGACTGAAATCTTAGAAGCAGAGGATTTTCTCTGTGACTCTCAGTTATCAAAAAACCAAATTAATTAGAGCAAAAGCAATGATAGCTATTATTGATCAAGCATTATCATGCACCAGGCCCTGTGCCAGGGATTTTATATTTTTGATACTTAATTTTCCCAATAACTCTACAAGATGACTCAGCTCTTAGTGACAGAGCTGGGATTTGAACCCAGGACTGTCTGGCTGCAAAAACCTGGCTCTTAAGTAACTGTCTTTCTGTCAAAATAAGGGCTTCACTGCTTGTAAATGTAGACCACTCTGCAACTCCCTGGGAACACCAGGGGATCCTGGGTGAACAGGAGTCTACTCTAAAATCCATTTTTGTGTATGGGAGAGGGCCACAGTCCATTTACTAAGAGTTCCTTCTCTATCCAAGGCACAGAAGGGCGTATTTTAGTCCCCTGATAACTCCAAAGACTAAGCTACTCCTTTTCTTTGGGTGGTTTGAGTTTTGTCTAGAAGGGGGCAGATCAAGGGTGGATTCAGTGTCCCTGTACTCCTGTGATGCTTTAAAAGAGATAGTCTAATGCACAAGTCATGAGGATAGCTGAGCACACAGCCAATTTCTGGCCATATGCTACAGTTTTGTTTGTGTTTCCATAGCAGATACCCACATTGGCTAATGAGTTACAAGATGCTGGTGCGACCACCAGGATAAGTGTCTACATTGGAGCAGGGATCTCTGCTGGGCTGACTCTGGTTCTTATCTTTGGTGCCTTAATTCTCAAATGTAAGTAATTTAATGTTGCTTTTCTCTCCCTCTGATGAGGAACTATTAATATAGGAACTAATATAAACCTAGATAGAAATATAAGTTTATATTTATACCCAAAGGTTGTTAGTCTAAAACTCTTTAGTTCTTCTAAACCTTAATAATAATAATATCATTATTATCATCAATGGTTACCATTTAACAGGCAGACATGGTGCTAAATGTTTTTACATGCATTTTATCATCATCTCCACCTTATAAGGTAGGTAGGATTGTTATCCTCATAGAAGAGAGTAGAGCTTAGAGAGAGTAAGTTACTTTCCCAAGGTTTCAGAATCAGTAAGTGACAAAGATGGAATTTGAATCCAGGCAGGCTGATTCCAGTTCCGATTCTCTTTTGAAAGAAAAAGAACCTTTTAATTCATGAATATGTCTAGCTTTATTAGGAAGCACAACAATGAAAATCATTTCCTTCTGTGAATTTTCTATCTTTGTTTCTCAGAAATAAGTCTTTAAAGAGAGGTATCAAGTCCTTTTAACATTGGGTCATGGCCAGATTGCAGCATTAGTATTTTCCTCCATCATGGCACTCAGCACAATGCATTTTTAAGTTACATACCTTTATTTTAAAAATTGTTACTAAAGGATGCTTTATATACAATAAACCTCATATTTAAAGTGTATTTAACTTGGTAAATTTCATTAGATGATAACACCTGGGAAACTATGGCCACAGTTCTATCAGCCCAAAGGCCTTACACCTATTTTGGTGATATATTCTCTTCTCTTTGAAGACAGAGGCCAAGGCCTTACACCCAGAGATTAGTGCATTCTAGCAGCCTTTCTTACTGATACACAAATGTGGACTGTGTGTAGGGTGACCAAGTATCCCAGATTTGCCCAGGACTGAAGGTGGATCCTTAGATGTGGGATTTCCAATGCTAAAAGTGGAGACAGTGCAGGGAAAACCAGGATGTTTCCAGAAGCTGCTGAGTAGTACTCTATGTGCATTAAATCCTTACAACTACTCTTTTGAGAAAGGTTGTAATATCATTCTAATTTACCAAATGGAGAATCAGTGTGCTGAAAGGTTAAGCAACACACACAAAGTCATTGTGATCAGTCATTCAGCAATGTTTAATTAAATTGACTCTCATTCATTCTAGAAAGTCTTCCTTCTCTAGGCTTCTGAAACACTGCTCTCCTACTTCACTGGCCATTTCTTTCCAGTCTTTTTTGTTATTTCCTATTCTTCTGCTAGACTTTTAGATGTTGAGGTTCCTCAGGGCTGAACCTTTCCTTCTCTCTGCATCTCTAGGTGATGACCTATATTTTCATAGACTTAATGTCATTCTTAATACCTCTCTCCAACTCTCAGAAGTTTGTCCAATTGATACTTCCTCTTAGATGTGTCCCACATCTAACATACCCAGTGGAGTTTATATTGCACCTTCCCAAAATGTAACCTCTCCCTTCCTGGTCGTTCCCATCACGGTGTTTCACTACCATCCATCTGGTCGCTTAAGCCCAGAAAGACAGAAGTCATTCTTGAATCCTTTATCCTCACTCCTAATACACAATTCAAATTCAGTTCCTGCGGGTCTTTCTCCAAAACATATCTAAAATCCATTCATTCTTCTGCATCTCTCTCCGTCACCACCTTACTTTGAGGCACCATCATTTCTACTGACCTCCTCACTTTTTTATACCTCCTTTTAACCCACTTTCCACACAGCAGTCTGAGTGATCGTCTTAAAACCCAATCATATTATATTTCTGCCCTTTGTATTTCTTACAGGCCTTAGAATAAAATTCAAACCCTTGATTTTTACTTAAGGGGTCCTGTAGGATCTAGCCCTAGGCTGCCTGCTTCTCAGACCTTATCTTGGGTCACTCTTTTATTCCAGCCATATTTATGGTTTCAGGCACTTGCCATGATCTCTATCAGGGCTTTAGTCTGCCTGGAATGCTCCACCTGGCTCTTCGCTGGCTGACTCATTCTCTTCTTTCAGAGTTGACCTTAAGAGTCACCTTTTCTGGAAGTTCTTTTTGACTACCTTCTCTATTATCAGTTCCAGTGCATTGTTGGTTTTCCTTGTATCAGATCAAAATGAGAAATTATTATTATTATTGTTATTATTATTATTTTTTAAGTGATATCCTCACTAGAACATGGCTTCACAAAGTCAGGCTTCATGATTTATTTTTGTGTCCATGGTGCTTAGCATACTACCTGACGTAAAAGTAGGTATTCCATATTTTGGTTAAATATTACTTTTATTATTTTCTAGCATAGTTCATGTAATAAACCAAGACACACAATGGTAGTTTGATTTTATTCAATCTATGGCAAGACCAGATGTCCCTAAACAATCCTTGCCTCCAGCGAGCCCATTTTATTTCTTATTTCATTTAACTGTGAAAGCAATTTTAATTGACTTTTCTTCTCCTCTTTGCCTAGGGTATTCTCATAAGAAAGAGAAGTTACAGAATTCAAGGTAAGAATAAGTGGTGGGGTAGGGGAAAGCGGGAATCTCGGAGGCCCCTACTCTCATATGGCTTTGATCTTTGCTCTTGGAAGTCCTACCCTGGGACTTTGGGATCTAAACTTATACTTCCTTCTTGCTTTAGGCCTAGTATTGTGAAATGCAAGCACACTGCTCTGTTTACTTCCTAATCCCTCTCATTCCTTAGTCCTAAAGTGAAGGTATAGAATTTATCTCATGTCGATAGGAAATGCTTATTTATTCTATATTAATGGGTCTTTTCGATCAATCAACTGACCCTTCAATTCATTGAGCATGTACTACATCCAGGCTCTGGTGTGGGCATTGGACTTCAGAAGAAAACTAGAAATACAGAATCTACTCACAGGGGTTTGGTAGCCAAATCTAGGTGCTCTTCACTCAGGTAACCTATTAGAGTCACTTACACAATCTGTTGTCAGCCCCAGAGCAAATAAACTAGAATCTTTAGGGATAAGGCCTGAGCACAAATATTTTTCTTAAAGCTTTCCCAGTGATATTGATGTGAAAACAAGGTTGAGAACTACTGGTTCGTTACATTACAGCTTTAGTCTTCATTCCTGACTATATTCACACATCTTTATAACACACATACACACACCTCAATTCCAGACACGCATAACTTTTCTTTCATTTTAGCGACATTTGGTACATTGATAGAATGCAGTATATTTCAAGGAAAAAAAATGACGCTGTCCATTGAATACTTTCTAAACCACTAATAATTTTAGACTAAGTGTAGGCAGTATATTTATGAAGACAGAATGGTCTGCAGTAAAGAAGTAAAAAAGACTAAAGAAATAATTTAATTATCCATAGATTAGATTATCTATGTCACTATGCTTTCTTAGAGCTGAAACCTAAAATGTGATAACATTCATAGGTAACGCACATGCACTAATTCATTTTATGTGACATCATTGGGCTAATGTTCATCTCCACCTATAAAGGTAAACTCCATAGAAAATAAGGAACTTGTCTACCATATTAATAGCTGTATCCCCTAGCACAGCTCCTGATACTTGGTAAGCACTTAATAAATATTTGATTATAGAATGAATAAATGCTCCTTAAGCAGCCTGGTGAGATAGCATGCTTATTATTCCTATTTTACAGATGAGGAGCCTGAGACACAGAGCTTACTAATATATAGCCTTCATGGAATTTCTGTGTTTTGTTCACTGCTGAATCTCTTGGTAAATAGAACAGTGTATAACACACTAAATATTTCTTGAATAAATGAATGAAAAAACAAATCCAACTTACCCAAGGTCATATGGCTGGTAAGTGAAAGAGACAAAATTCAAACTCAAATCTGATTGGCTACATGCCATATTCATTTTTTTTGAAATTGTTCCAGCCCCCAGGAGAATTGAAATAATAGTATAAGGAACACCTAAATGTGTGATTTATCCTTTTGATATGTTTGTTTTTTCTGTTTCTCTATGCACACAATTTCTTTCTGAACCATTTTAAGGATGTTTCAGACATCTTGAGGCTTGACCTAAACACTTCAGTCTGTACTTCCTAAGAACAAAAATATTCTCTTAGATAACACAATGCTAATTTTTATAACTAAGAAAATTAAGATTAATTCAGATTTCCTCGATGTTCTTCAGATTATTCTATTTTATGTTTTTCCCCCTAGTCAGGACCCAGTCAGGCATCATGTGCTGCCTTTGGTCGCTGTCTCTTCAGCAAAGCCTATGCTCTTTATTCTGTGGTACCCTGGAAATGATGAACTCAACTGTGACATTTTATTTCCACAGCCTCATCACTTTGGCTAACCTCCCTCCCTTAGGGTTAGCTAATACAGTAGCAGAGGGAATGCGCTCAGAGGAAAACATCTATACCATTGAGGAGAACATATATGAAATGGAGGATCCATCGGAGTATTACTGCTATGTCAGCAGTGAGCAGCAATCCTGACAACTTCTGAGGCTCACCATTCTATGTCGTCGGACCCAGCTTCATTTTTGTGCTTATATTGTCTTCTCTGAAAACTATCAAATGTGTCAGCTGATTGGCTTTAAGGTTCTGTCCATGGCTCCCAAGCACTGTTTTTCCATTTCTGAAGATAATTAGCTCACAAGGGATTGAACCATGACCTGCACTGTTCTCAGACAGGTTACAACATTACTTTTCCCCAACCAGCAAGGTTATTCAACTCAGAGACTGATAAAAGGGGAATTTCTAATATGGGGTCTCTGGAATTCCAGGAAATTTAGTCACATGATGTGTCCACGAAGCTCTTAAAAATGTAGGGACGGTTATGTAAATATCTTTTTTTTTTTAGTACAGAAAGTCTAGAGGGGCACTGATTTTCAAAAAGATATGGGACTCATTAAAGGATAAGAAACGCCTGGAGTAGAACTAGATGGTCTCGAAGGTTCCCTTTGAGTCTCAGGGTTTATGCTTCTTTGCATGTTGACTCTCCAGCAGTAAGTGCCACTGCACAGCTCTTTTTTGCCTGTTACGAGGACAGCCCAGCAAACCCATGGTATGGCAGGAGCTCCTGGGGAAAAAGGAAGCACACTCAGTGTGTGTGTTGCTGTTTTGCTCGGTGATCACTCAAAGGGAAATATCTCTGATCAACTTCTCCATTCATGGAGAGAACTGGAGCTGTGTTTTTCACAGAAGAAGCAGTGACTGGGACACAAATTTGATTTTGTGGTAGAGAGAAAAGGCAATCTGTATTTGTCCGCTTCAGATTCCTTGATGGAAAGACAGTGGTCTTTAAGCCTCAATACAAGAATGTAGAGACTAAATCTGCCTTACTTATTTGTTGCCTTCCTAATGCCTTGCACTGCTCTCACACATAATAGAATTTACTAAATATCTTTGGTATGAAAACATTAGATAAGCAGAAAGGTAGCTTCCTGCAGTCTTTCCCATTGGAGAGTTCAGACAGCTCTTTAACCTCACTTCTTAGAGAATTCGCAAATATCCCCAGACTCCCTGTACCCTTAAGTAGGCAAAAGTGGCCTCTGCTGCTCAGCACATTGTGCCATCTCAGGCCCTTGGAAGTCTGCCACCCTCTTGTCTGTTTCCCTCTTTCTGCTGAGCCTCCTCAGCACACAAGGAATCAGTCAACAATATGGACCTGTCACTGCCTGAAAACTGCCCTTCCCCAGGTGATGACTAAAGTGCTACTGTGCTACGTGCAGTACATGTTGGTCACCAACAACACAGGCAGCCTGTTTGTTTCTAGAAGTCTTTCAGGCATTCCGAATTATTGTGTGAACTATATAGTGTTTGGGCTGCATCTAGACAGTTTTGGGAGGCACTGGATTTCTGTAGGGAGATATGTAAAGGAGATCATTGTGCAAAATCGTAGGCAGTGGCTCTCATACAAGCTGAAAAATTAATCGTAAATGTATTAAAGGTTTTGAAATTCTAGGAGGGATGGGACTTCAGAACACATTTGGACCAGATCGATGGCCTCCTCCAAAAGAGGCTCATCCTACAAAAACTTTTAAACTAGGGTAAGTGTGCAGGCATTATCATTGCAATGACGTTCACAGGAAATGTTTTCTATCAGCAGGGCAATAGTTGATTATTGTGGTACATCAGCACACTGGTGCAGTAAAAAGGAATTCGGTGGTTTCATCATTGAGCCATATGCTAATTTAACACATATTTATTAAGTGCTTAACGTGTGCCTGGTACTTTGGTGCTGAGAACATAGAGACCAATAGGCATATCCCTGAGCCCATAGAACTGGTGGATCTGACAGGCTGGAGGATTCATTCCATCTACTTATTCATTGAACACTTATTGTCAGGTACTTTGTCAGACAGTGTATTAGTCCCTAGGACTATCTCAGTGAAGGAAGCAGACAAAACCCCTACTGTCACAAAGCTTAAGTTACTTGTCAGAGAAAAATGCTATAGCGCTAAGTTAAAAGAAAAATAAAGTTCTCGAATAGTATGTCTAATTGATGCAAATTTTATCTTATGCCTCAAAAAAATGTGGAAGAATATACTCAATATGTTTACCCCACTGTGGCAAATGATCAAGAGATGTTCACTTTTTCCTTTTAACATGCCTTTGTAATTGATGATCTCTATTTTCTTTTGTAATGAAAAGATTAGATTTAAGCATATAGCAATGTTTTTCTGTCTGCCTTCCTCATTATAGAAAGAAATGAAGATGGGGACAGGTCAAGTTCAAGGTCAGGGCCAGCAAGAGAGTGTGCCAGAAAGCCAGGACTGGAACCCTGGTTTTCAGAGTAGGAGCCACTGTAAATCAATTATTTAGAATGGGGATGAAGGCGGAAAGGAGAACGAAAAGCTCCATATGCCCTGGAGATGACAAGTGGTAACTTAATTAAAAATAGTGTGTTAAGATTGAATATGTTGTCTGTTCCTAGAAGTACCTTTGGATTTTTTTCCCAGGCTCTACCTAAGCGACCTATAGTCTGTGCAAAGTGGGGGCTGCTTGTCTTTTTAGACTGAAAAAATAAGGTCTTGCTATGTTTTATCTATTACTTTTGCTAGATTTGGAATTTCTAAGGTAGTAATTTCAAGCTGTTCAAGCCCACATTACAGGCATACCTCATTTTATCGCATTTTGCTTTATTGTGCTTCATAGGTGCTGAGGTTTTTTTAAAAAAATATATTGAAGGTCCTCCACCAGCAAAAAGATTCTGACCTGCCTTATTTATTTAGGTGGTCTGGAACTGAATCTACAATATCTCCAAGGTAGGCCTGCTATTGATTTATGCCTATTCTCATTAAAATTTTAATGTTATTCTCATTTAAATTTAAGTTAAAAAAATTAAACTGAACCAGATTAATTTGTCTTCAGAGTTTTTATCAAGAAAGTCTGACTCCTGGTGATAAGTAGAGATGCCCTAAAACTGTAATTGTTTAGGATTTCCTACCAGCCTTTTCTGGGAATCAGTTGAGAAGCCAGGAAAAGGAGAGAGAGGCAGCTGGACCATTGGGTTGAAAGGTTCTCAAGCTACCGCGGAGTTCAGATTTTGGCTGATTTTCATTGGAAACCTGTGCAAAGGAGCAGTATGAGTCAGAAATGTTAGTTTCAGGCTTCTAGATCCTCTGTGTCTTTTTCTCAGTCTATTGACTGCAATTACGAAGGTCATTCCAAGTGACTCATTTACTCATAGCAGTGATTTTCTTTTTGGAATTCTTGTTTAAATTCCTTCTGCTATAGTGTGACTCTCTTTTCTCAGAGAAAGCAGTGAGATTTTTTTTTAATGGTTATTTAAGCCATTCATGTGTGCTGGTGTGAGACATCTTTTTAAATGTGCACATTATTTTAATATAGTTGTTTTGTGGGTACATCACCTTTGAAAAATATTTTATTATAGACTTGTAGTCTATATTTGCTTCACGCTTTATGATAAGTTGGTATGTTTCCTTTGAAATTTCCACATTTTGTATTTCTGCTTTTAAACCTAGTTCACGTAAAATAGAAATATTTTACATTCCAATGCAATGTTTATTTTCTTTTTGCCAGCTCTGAAGTATCCATATATCTATATATCTGTATCTAGTCTGCTTTTAATTTTATTGTCCACAGTTTTACTTATGATTACTATTCAATTTTGTACTAAATTTAGTTCTTGTTCAGAAAACACTCAAGTTGAAATTAACTACTGTAGAAATGTAGGTGGAGGTTGTCTCACAGTTTTGTTCTACTGATATTATAGATTTCTGGATTATTTTTCTTTATCCAAAAGTTCACCACTAGATCTTAGGAAAAAATCTCTTGACCTTAGTACCGGCTAAATCTGAGAGTTGAAGTAAGGATCCAGTGATGAGGGGCCTTTAAAATCTGCCAGCTGCCCAGGCCTAAGTAACATTCTCAGTAATGTTCTCAGAAGAGCTGTTCTTGGTTCTCTCAGGCAACCCTCCTCCCACAAAAATTTCTGCTACACAAATAGCAACCAAATAGTTTCTAATCACCATGGGAGAAAATAGTTATCTGACTTGATGGAATTTCAGATAAAAACTAAGAAATGTGACATTTAACTATACTAGTAGCTATTTTATTTCAAGCAAATGTCCTTATAAGGGACACTGTATGGAGCAGAGAGTTTGGAGCCATTTGCCTTACAGTATATTGAGACTCTGAATAACAATCTCTATTTAAGCAGGGGACACAACTTGTTAAATTGCTTGTGTCCTTAATGCTGTCTTTTTTAACTTTTAATTTTGGAATAATTTGAGATTTACAGAGACTCGTAACAATGATACGGGAGTTTCTGTATTCACCAGTTTCCCACAATGTTAACAGTTTGCATAACCAGGGTACATTTGTCAAAACTAAGACATTAACAGTGATATGACATTTTCTAAACTATAGGCTTTGCTTAGATTCCTATTATTGGTTTTTAAATTTTTTAATTAAATATTCTTTGAAAAATATAGTAGCGTTTGGTTAAAGGTGAAAGTCCCCATTCCCTGTCCTCCTCATCAAACCTTCTCCCCAATTCCACTCCCCAGGAATAATCAGTGTTATTGCTTTATTCTTCTAGACTAGCACTGTCCAGTAAAGTTACAATGAGAGCTATATAGGTAATTATAAATTTTCTACTAGCGACATTCAAAAAAGTAAAAAAGAAACAGGTGAAATTAATTTTAAGAATATATTTAACTCAACCATCTAAAGTACTATTATTTCAATGTAGAGTAAATATAAACATCATTAATGAGTTTATTTATTTTTTTATTGTAAGTCATCAAAATTCAGTATTTTATATTTAGAGCACATCTCAATTCTGACTGGTCATATTTTAAGTGCCTAGTAGCCACATGTGGCTAGTGGCTGTAGTATTCGCATAGTTCTAGAACATTCTCTGTTCTCTCTCATACATACATATAGTAACTTACTTTTTACCCATTGTTTATAGAAGGCCATGGGTCCGTATCAGAATACACGGGACAACAGCCTTTATTTAGATAGCTATGTAGTATTAAGTAGAACAAATGTGCATAATCTATTAAATCACTTCCCCATGCATAGATATTTATTCCTCTCCCCCCCATTTCAAATAAGGCTGCAAGGACAATCCTTTTTTAGAAAACCTATGTGCACTTGTGTGTACTTCCAAAGTATAAGTTCTAGATAAGGAATCCCTGTGTCGAAGTAAAATTACAATGAGAGCTATATAGGTAATTACAAATTTTCATGAAGTAGTATGACTTATAGAATAATGATTTATTTTAAAACATATATACCAGTCATTGTATTGCTAAATGTATACTATTTTACTCAAGCAATCATTTCAGAAAACTATTCTAGCAATGTTTCTTTCACTCAAAATAATTCGCCTTTGTTTTCTGAAATTTGACTTAAGAACCATTTTATGCTAAAATACCTAGGTCAAATGACTCTCATAGGCCTTATTTGTTTTTAGTCATAGTTATTATTTATTCACTTATTTATTTCCTCCATCCCTTCCTCCTTTCATTCCTTCCATCCACCAGCCACCCATCCATTTATCTACCCACTCATTCATTCATCCACTTTTTCATCCATCCATCCACATCCATCGAAAATATAGCTTCCTACTTGGTATCCCCCTATTCCACTTTTGCTCTCCTAATAGTTCATTCTCCTCATACAGAAGTTTAAGTGTTTTCCTTTTCTTTTTTAAAATCATCAACCAGATTCAATTACTCTGTTATTTAACACCTTTCAACAGCTTCCAATGGGACTGGATTTCTGCTGACCTCATCAGCCTCTCCCGATTCTCTATGCCACATTGGTCTCCTTTCTGCTTCTAGAACAGATCAAGTTCTTTCTGGTTTTAGCGTTTTTTTTTCAGTGGAGTTGTTTACCTGTGGAATATTTCCGTTAGACTGTTTGCAGAGCTTCCTCTTTCACATCTTTGAGTTTCCAGCTTAGATGTCAACTGAGAGCTTTCCCAATGCAATGAGAAAAGACCAACCTGCCCATCTCTAGTCCAGTTTATTTCCTACATAATTTATTCAAATCTGAAATTCTCTAACTTTTTAATTTTGTGTGGTGTGTGTGTGTGTGTGTGTGTGTGTGTGTGTGTGTGTGTGAGTGATTTGTCTTCCTCGAGCCTCAACTAGACAGTAAACTCTATCATTCATCTTATACCCCAGGGGCCTAGTAAAATAACTGACTTGTAGTGGATGCTAAATAAGCATTTGTAGACTGATTGAGTCAATGATATATACCTACTATATTGTAAACTCAAGCTATGATACAAGTGCCACAGATAGAAGATTCGTATATTCAAGGAAGTCAGAGTCTATCAAGGCAGCCCAATATCCAAGCAAACAATTATAATAAAAGTTAATAAGCATTAGCAGACCTGCATACTAGATTCTAAATGAAACAGAAAAGCCTTTGTTTCTTTTTGGTGATGTCTTCATTTTTTTTTTTTTCTTATTCTTGTAAATGTTAATCCTTGTCTTTACCACTTTCTTAATTTAACATCCATATAATACCAAGTGAATGTCATAGAATAAGGATGGCCTGTTACACAGCAGATGCTCAATAAATATTAACTGGGTAAATGCATGAAGTGATACAGGTGACATAGATTCTAACAGCAGACACCTAAATAAATATATAGTGACCTGATATATTTTCTACTTTGTAGAAAAGCATGCTTTGTAGTATAAGTGCTTATATGTTAATTCAAGCATTATTTCATGATCTTCTGTCTTTCTTGGTAATTGGTAGTGTCTGAATGTAGCTTTAGTTAATTTAAGTTGCTTTCTTTTCCCTCTATCTGGGATAAAGAAATGATGGTTATAATTAATTTGCAAAAAATATCTTATGTAAATGTAAAAGAATTCCACTTTTGTAAGAACACACAGTTTGGGGGTTTGCTTGGGTTCCTGTGTGTGTGTGTGTGTGTGTGTGTGTGTGTGTGTGTATGTGTTAAAACGTTTTACATATATTATATGAGTAGTACATTTGTAAATTCTTATTGTAAAAACTCAGCTGATACCTAAATAACTTTAAACTAAAAGACACCCCTGTCTCAGCTTGCTTTCTTATCACAGAGTACAGACACTGAACAGTCTCAGACACTAACAGTAGTTAGTCACACATGCCTTTCCTATGACTTTTCCATATGATATATATGTATATGTTGTCATTTGGTTACAGCATTTTTACAAAAATAGGTTTCTATGAAATATATTTGTATGAATAGTTTTTTCACTTGATATTTTTTAGAAACAGTTCCATACAAGTGTCCCAATAAAATGTCACATTCTTTTTCACTGTATGTTATTAATAAGCAGAGGGTTTTGTATACATTATTTAAAGTCCCATTTCCTACCAGTTCCTACAGTGTTCTTCACATAAGTTTAGAAGGAGCTCAGCATACATTCTGAATAATTGCTACCAGCACAGGCATTTCAGTTTGGTGCCCAGGTCCTACAGAAGTCTTGGTTTGGGAGAGCAGAGTTCTTTAGAACAGAGGTCCCCAACCCCTGAGCCACAGACTGGTACCGATCCATGGCCTGTTAGGTACCAGTCCACACAGCAGAAGGTGAGTAGCTGGCCAGTGACTGAAGCTTCCTCTGCAATTGCAGCCGCTCCCCAGCGCTAGCATCACCACCTCAGCTCCACCTCAGATCATCAATCTTTAGATTCTCATAGGAGCACATGTCTCTGGTGCCAAAAAGGTTGAAGACCCCTACTTTAGAAAACTATCCTAATCCTATCTGGTTAAAGCCCAATGCTATTAAGTCTCTTTGACCCACCCATCTTCCCTAAACTGGATGTGGAGGAAATGTCTTACAATCTTGTGATAATGCAACAAGGCACAGTGGATACAAGTGAATGTTTTAATCCAAAAGCGAATTTATGATGATGTCAATGTTTTCAAGTAGATAACGCCCATTGTTTTGGTTTTGGGGGGTGGGTTGGCACCATAATATCATAATGTCTTGGGGACTCATCGTGTGCACAAGCAGTGTCCTCTAGCTGTGTGAGCCGGAGCTCAGCTCACAGCCAGTTTTCTGCCATCGTTGTCATACACAAGTTCACAGCCCTGAGTGCCGAAGGACATGCTGTTAACACCTGAAAGATGTATATAAACGATATTGGGGCACAGTGTAGCAGTATGTACTTCATCCTTATTAAAGGTGGCAGCTTGCTTTCCTAAACTTTTGAGGGCAGAAACTGTAGGTTTTCTTTTTTTGCATAGAATGTTACATTGCTTAGTACGAGGTGCTCAGTGAATATTTGGTGAAATAACGTTTGTTAAGTGACAAGAAGAGTTGAGTAAGGGTAGGCAAGCCTGGCTTTTACTTCTGCATCTGCCCCACAGCGTATCCTGTAAGGGTCCCATCTTCTAGTCCTCTTTTTGATCCTCGGTTTATTCATTTATAAGTTGTGGGGTTGCCCCAGGTAGTTTAAAGTCTCTTCATGTGTCAACAGTATCAAAATCGACATGACTTTTCAAGACTAGAGGCTGGCCTAAAAGCCAAATCTGGGCTGAATAGTTTAAAAACAGCCTAGCAGAAAAGAAATACTGTTCCAGCCCATTCATATCTTTATAATCTGCATAAGTTAGTAAAAGATAAAACCTAGCAAGAAGATTGGCAGACTGGACAAGTTTGACTTTCAAAGAGACTTCTCAATATTCTTATGTAAATGTGTGGTAAAGAGATAAAGAATGGAATTCAGGAAGAAAGTTGTCTTCGTTCATAAAAACCTTTGGGGAGATGGATCTTCACCAGAGGAGCTGGAAAACTCCTGATTCACGGTAAGTACAGTCCCCTGGAAATTTATGCCGAGGAGAAAACCAAAACTTGTTGCTTGAACTTTCTGAGTGTTATATGGCATATTAGGACAATGATGATTGAGCCAATAGAAACGAGGGGAAGTTGGGTGGGGGTGGGGAAGTGGGGGTGGAGTCGAGGTTACTGAGTAGGTAAACCTGAACTCACCTCCTCCCAGGGACACATCAGAATTACAACTCTGTTGTAGAACAACCTTTACAGAGAACCAGCTGAACACTAGCTGAACAGAATTCCTACAACTAAGAATATAAAGAAGAAGCCATGTGGAGACAGGTAGGAGGGGTGGACTCGTGGTCTGGGCATGTCCTACACCCACGTGGTGATTAATGAATGGGAGGGATAACTCCCCTGAAAGGGTTCCATGCCCCCCGACCCCAACAGCCAGCGGTCTGAGCCCAACAGTGGGCTTCCCAGTGCGGGGCACCTGTACGGGAAAGAGGAGTCCTTATAATATCTGGCCTTGAGCACCAGTGGGGAATACATCTGAGACTGATGAAGGCGTGTGGGAGACCAAGACTCTATACCGAGAGGATTTGGCACAAACTTACTGGCTCTAAGCTCCAGCATAGAGGTGGCAGTTCCAGAAATGCCTGCCTGGGCCATATAGGGAAGAACGAAATTGACTGACTTTGGGGCAAGGGCTGTAGGGGCAGGGATTGGTGGGAGTTCTCTCAGGGGACAGAAGCCTTGGGGGGTGCTATTCTTTTGTTAAGCTCTCCTCCCACTCAGCTGGCCCTGAGCGGGCAGGCACAAAAATCTGTCCCTCCTGTCCCTCTTCGTTCTCCTGGCTAATACTGTCTGCCCTGCTGTGGCGATTCCAGGAGACCCTGTCCCACCCAGCCCACTAGTCCTGCTGGAGCTTCTTCTAGCAGGTCCAGACCCTTCAGAGTAGCCTTGGAGACCCTGCAGTCTCTCCCAAATGCCCCAAGCTCTACAGGTGTAATAGCCTGATCTGGTGTTCCCTGCTGTTGCTCCCAGTCACCCTCTAGCCCCATGGGAGCATTGGCTGAGCAGGACACAGCCTCTCCCAGATGCCCTCAACGTCAGCGCAAGCAGCGACCTAAGTGTCAGTAGTTAAAAGGGTAAAAAACATGTGATACATATGTACTATGAAATATTGCTAAGCCATACAAAGAATGAAATCTTGCCGTTTATGACAACGTGGTTGGACCTAGATGCTAAGTGAAATAAGTCAGGCAGATAAAGATAAATGCCATACGTTTTCAGTTATATGTGAAATCTTAAAAAACAAAGGAACAAACAAAACTAAACAAAGACAAACTCAGAACAAACCAGTGGTTCCCTGATCGGGGCGGGGAAGGGGATCGGTGAAAAAGTGAAGGGTGAAAAATGTGAAGAGAATTAAGAAGTGGAAACTGCTGGTTATAAAAAAAGTCACGGGAACTGATTCTCATTTAAATGGGATCATGAACCTGTACTTCTGAGTTTAAGCTTTTTTCGGACAACATCAGTGAGAGGAATAGTGCACCACGGGAGGAAGCCCTGTAGGCTTCAATGAAAGCTGTGCGACTTTAGAAGCAACACTTCACTTTGCTGAGCTTCCCTCCATCTGTGAAATTATATAATAATATGGAAATGGGAATATGTGTATCTAGAGCATAGCTATATTAGCAGTTCTGCTCATTAACTTATGATTTATAAAGTAAAAACATTTGTAAATTGTAAATAATAACTAGTTGTATAAAATGTAGTGTTAGTAAAAGAGAAGCCTGGTATTAGTTTCTGACTTTTGCAGGTTTGATTGTACTGTTGTCCCTTCTGCGTTAGAGAGTACTCTGCTTACAAAGATTAGCATGTACAAGTGCTTTAGTTTGGTTTGGGTTGGTTGGAGTTTTGTGAGGCTCGAAGTGGAAGGGTGTGATCAGCTTGGAGGTGAGCAGCTTTTAGAGTTTGGCACTGGGAAGCCATTGGATGCTTTTAAGATGGGGAGCTATTTGATTGGATTATTTACAGATGCCAGAGATGACTTTATTTATTTATTTATTTAATTTGATTTTTTTAATGCCTACAGCACCTGGTCTTCCTAGGTAGTCTCCCATCCAAGTACTAACCAGGCCCAACCCTGCTTAACTTCTAAGATCAGAGGAGATCAGGCGTGTTCAGAGTAGCATGGTCATATGCGGTGATTTAAAAAACTTAGCCATCCTTAGGTGTGGATTCTACTACCCCTCCATCATGGCCTGCAGTCTCAGGTAGCTGGAGAATAGCATCGGCCGCTTGGGCTGGTCTCACTTTCATGACACCTGCCTCCAGTGGCCCCTTAGTGCTGCCAGACAGTTCTTCATTAGTCCCTAGTCCATTTGCTGTCACCCACATGCTCCCCCTGATCATGTCTAAGGGGACTCCCCTAATTTGGCGCTGGATTCCATCCCTTCATTGCTCCACAAACTTCTCTCAAATCACTTTTCCTCCTCTCAGTCATTCCCAGATCATACAAAGATGCTGTGATTTTTGGCATGTTAATAAATCTTCCTCTTTACTCTACTCTCTAACTTTCCTTTGCTTTTTTTTGTTCTTTTATCGGCTGCAAAACTCTTTGAAAGAGTTCCCTGTCTCAATTCCCTCCAAATCTTTCCTGTCTATGTAAACTGTTTTCTTAGGTATACATATGGGAAGTGAACAGTCAGGAAACTACTCTTCACCAAAACTGATTTTGTGAAGGCCATGAATGATCTCCGGGTTGCTCAGCGCTATAGATACATCTCATCCCTTGCCTTTGCAACATCGGATTCGTGATTATTGCCTCTTCATTGATGCATTTGCTTCGCTTGGCTTCCAGAATCCCATTTATTTTTCCTTTTCCAACTACTTTCTTGGTCTGCTTCTATTTGTGTGTTTGGTGCCATTTCCACCTCAACTTTTTGTGGAAGGCCCCACCCAGGGCCCAGTCCTTTGCGACAGGCATTCCCTTGAGCATCCCCTCCAGATTCTTTGGGATGCTGGTTTACAGCATCAGGCTTTAGCTTTCTTCTCAGTGCAGAGGCTGCTGGAGTCGGGGGTTCACATTCCTGGGAACACAGGACCCATAATCAGAGGATGCTGAGGCCGTCATTCACTTTGCCATGAAGCTGTCATGAGCTACCAAAAGGCTAGAGATGGGGGAACAGTGCCTTCCTGGGAGAAGGAAGTTACTGCATCTTTATACCAGAAGGGGAGTTAATGATGTGCTAAGGCAGGCTTACATATGTTTGTATGGTTTAAGAGCAAAATCCAAAGGCCTCACCTGGAATCTAGGCTCACTTACCCTTTCCAAGCCTCAGCTTCCTCCTCCACAAATGGGGTGAATGACAGTACCTGTCTAAGGGGGCCTGTGAGGACAAAATGCATATAGGTGCTTGGCACAGAGCCCGTTACACAGTAAATTCTTTAAAAACCTTGGCTAGTATTCATACATTTTTAGGTTTAGTTTTCAAAGTTCACCCACAGCTTTTTGCTCATTATAACAACCCTTTGAGGAGATATCTCAAGTGTTTTAGCACTATTTTACATACGAGGAAATGAAGGGTTGGAGGAGCTCAGTAATACGTAGAGATATCCAGCTTTGCAAGCAGCAGAAATGGAATCTGAACCCAAGTGTGGAGGAAAGACTTTTGTGATGTGAGCTGTCTGTCCCATGAGCTGGATGCAGGCCAGAATGGTGTTGCTTTCCATAAACCCCTTTAGAGATTGTCTGATGAGAATTGGGATTCATTTGGACATAAATCAAACCTTCCTCACTTTCTGCTATCTGCTGGTTCCTGGAACAGGCTCTTTGTTCTGACTGGTTAAACATTCTAAGATTAGAGTAGATGTAATGAAGTGGATTTAAATACTAAAAGTAAGGTGATTCTGAATCAGAATTTGGTTTTCTTTCTCTGTTTTAAAATAGAACAAACATATAGAAAACAAAGGACACAAGAATAGGCCCTAAGCTTGTCATAGACCAAGGAGCTATGATAATGAGGGCATGAAGCCCTATTGTTTCGAAAACAGGGACTATTTAGTAGAATCTGCAGGGGGACATTCCCCTAGTTGAAGTCAGTTACTTCACATCCCTGGATGGGCAGGACGTGCTTAGTCTCTGCTGGGACCCTCTCCTAACGCTTTTGGGACCTTTAGAGACCACTGCACATGGATCGATATACACACCATAGAAAAAAAGAGAAAGGGCTCTATTCTGGCATATTCCCAGTTCTATTTACCTTGTTACGCCAGAGAGTACAACTTCTCCCTGGCCAACAAGTGTGGTTTACACAGTGTGGCCAGGCTACAGGCGTCATTCTCCTAGAAGATTTCCCAGTTCACGTCCCTACTAAATGTTTGCCTTCAGACTTCTGCTGTTACGTGGCAATTCATTCTGGGGTGGGGCACCTGTGCCATTATCCAGACTGAATGTTGTGTTTTTACACCAGACGAATCTGCTAATAATTCTTTGACAGCACATATACAAAGTCCAGTAAATGCCTTAAATAATCTGGCCCCAGGCCTGGGCAACCTGGTAACCCACTGGTTTGGGTCCTGGGGGAGCATGATGGAAAAAAATTGTCACTAATACTTGGACTGCTTCTTTTATTTTATCTCCTTTCTTGTATGTGTCTTTCCTATCACTGTGAACCGTGTCTCCACTGTAGTCAATTGGCAACTAAGTGATCTATCTCCCTGCTACTAAAGCCCCTGGCTGACCGTTCAGGACACCTCGTGGAAGAGGGTGGTGTGAGTTTGTAAGAGCCTGTCACGAGGGGTGAAGTGTGGAGGAGAGACTGTTCTGTGACGTGACTGCTGCCTGTCCTACAAGCTGGGCCCAGGCCAGAATGGAAGTTACTTTCGCAAACTCCCCTTATAGACTGTCTAATCATAACTGATGTCCATTCTGAGATTAGTCAGTACCCTTCCTCCTTGGAAACCCCCCTTATAGACTGTCTAATCGTAACTGATGTCTATTCTGAGATTAGTCAGTACCTTGCCTCCTGCTATAGGCCAGTTCTTGGACAAGGCCATTGTCCTGACCTGGTCAAGCATGTAAAGTAATTTCCAGTACCTGGTAGCATTCATGGACTTGTCCTCATGACTATCCCCACCCTTTGCTCTATATAATTCTTTGGTGCCTGCCAAGTACAATGGGGATACATTTTGTTTTGCTCTCACCCAGGAGGAGCCTTGTATGTAAGTTTCCTTTAATAAACTCTGTTAGTTGCCAGATCAGGGTGGGCTGCTGCTTTTGTTAGTCTGTCTCTGCCCTCCACTTATGGAGGCAGATTTTCAGTTTGGGGTATTTCCCTGGGTCCGTGTATATGAACACCAAGTATGATCCAGACTCTGATTCTAGAAACATTATCCTGCCATTGATGTGTAAATGCAGTTTGAGTTATTACTTCCATAGTGTGAATGGTGAGGCTCAGTGATTCACATTCCGGCTTAATTATAGCTAATAGAGTAACTTGGCAGTATAAGTGAGGCTGGGGACTAAGCACTGTGGCCCAGGGCAGGAAGTATCCTGTACTCACCAAAGGACGAGTTGACTGTCATCTCAGAGGCCAAGGGTAAGTACACCTCTACCTTTGGAAGACTGGTCTGTGCTCTGGTGTTCTCCTCACTGAGCCTGGCTCTGGTTTCCTTCCTTTTTGCTCCTTCATATCCTGTGTGAGCATCAGGAGTCAGTTTGGACTCCCTGTGTGGGGAAGGAGCTGGGGAATAAGGGGCTGCTTTTGAGGATGGCTTTGCCTGTCTATTAGAGGTGTGGAACCCTCGGCCACCCAGAGCTAACAGAGAGTCGAAGCCATGCTCCCTCATCCTTAGCAGGGCAGGCTCATGTGATTCACCCAGTCAGGGTGATAGGAAAAGTTGCAATCTGAGAATTAAGACTTGCTTCCATTCCATCTGGTAGGGGCACACCACGCAGTCTGTTTTCTCTTTGCCTTAGGCTGACAGCATCATGCATCCCTGGTTAGCCTTCACAAGCCTCATACTACTTTGGACAGGTAAGTGCATATGTAGGCTGGGGTTTGGAGGGCATGAGCATAGAGGAATAAAACGGGTGTGTGGGTTATGGTGGAGGAAGGTGAGTGTTTTGGGGCTTGTTGGAAGGTAATGGATCAACTAGTGAGCAAAGAGCCAGGCTGAAATCTTACTCCAAAGAAATTGCTTAAATGCTATGAGTTACAAAATCTGTGGCTGGTGAGCAAGGCATGGTGCATATCAGTATGTCATATGCTGAAATTTGTGTTTAAACAAAAAAAAAGGCATGGGTAGATACTTGGGAATGCATGGACTTCTCGCCTGTATGTAAGAAATAGTAAGGTGTTATCACGGAGTGGGAGGGGATGGAGAGGAGAAATGGCATGGAAAAGAGACCAGTCTTTCGTTGTACCCTTCTGTGCAGTTGATTTTTTTTAACATGTGCAATTATTTCTTTTAAAAATAGGACATTTAAATTCAAAACATTATATGAGATAGGGAAAAATTTAGAAATAAATATATCGTAAATTTAAAAAACAACGATCGCTAGAGGTGGGATTATGGGGGAAATATTATTTTTATAATACTTCTATAACTGAGTTTTTATAATTAGTATGTATTATATCTGTAATCCAAAAATGCTGTTAGGCAAAAATAAATATTATAAGATTCCAGTGAAAAACTACTCTTAGGTAACAATGATGATTTTATTTTTAGAAGATTTCCGAAACTCACAGCCCAGTCTGAAATATAGATTAGTTAGGATTAGTACTACATAGAGAATATAGTCAATAATATTGTAATAGCTATGTGTGGTGTCAGATGGGTACTAGACTTATGGGGGTGATCCCTTTGTAAGTTATGTAAATGTCTAATCACTGTGGCGTACACCTGAAACTAGTATCATATTGAATATCAACTGTAATTGAAATTTAGAAAAATGTTTTTAAAAATGAATCAATATGATTAGTTGATGAATCTCAGAATTCACTTAAGGACCACCTTGAGTGCATTTGGCATTTCTACCACGGGAGAGAGTTTTTGGTTTTAAGTGGCATAATTTAGTACTCGATGGAATATTCTCAAGTTCTCTGGTTTCACCAGGGGAAGTAAGACTTGCTCAAGTGCTGGCTGTCATCAACTCATGACAAGGGGTACTGACTTGGAATTTTGGACTGACCCTAAAGCACTTGATAAGCCTTAGCTCCTCCTGGATATATTAGAAACCCATTTTCTAAAAATTGATTTATGAAGAGTTTATTAGACTTCTGCCTTTAAGCTGACAATACTTTAGAGAAAACTGTAGCTCCGCTTATTTTTATGAGAGAGGGCTTGTGAGGCTACTTCTTTTGTAGTAGCAGTTGTCGAAATTATAATAAAAATAAAAAATTGAAACTCTAAATGCAATAGAATTTTCAAATGGATAAGCAGATACCTGTCAAACACAGAATGAAATACACACTCATATATAATTGGAGTGTCATTTGTTCATACGTTTTGAAAAGGAATTTGAAAAAAAGAGACTGCGAATATTCTGCCCTTTATACTGATAATTTTTTCTCTTAGAGATCTATCCCATTAGGAAGCAATTCTAAGTACAGAAAAAAAGTTTAAATTATGTCATATTTACAAATATCAAGTAAACGAAATGCTAATAAAGATGTTAATAAACTATATAGAATTTTTAAATTCAAGATATAAAGTTATATGATTACAAACAAAATAAACTATATGAAAAGAAAAAAGTGAAAATAAATGTAAAATTAAAATATTGAGGCCTCGTGTCCTGTTTTCTTTTTATTTGCAGATGCTGTAGTTTCTCAAGTACAAGTAAGCGGAGTGGTGGGTCAGCCTGTCACGCTACCCTGCACCTACTCAACAGCTAGTGAAGTCACAACCATGTGCTGGGGCCGAGGGGGATGTCCTCGGTCCGTATGCTCAGATCAACTCATCTGGACTGATGGATATCGTGTCACCTTTCAGAAGAACATGCGTTATGAGCTAAATGGAATCATTCCGAAAGGGAATGTATCTTTAACCATAAAGAATGCACAACAATCCGACAGTGGCACATATTGCTGCCGTATTGAGCACTCAGGGTGGTTTAATGACAAGAAAGTCAACATATTATTGGAAATAAAGCCAGGTGAGCTTGTTTTAATTCTTCCTTCGATGTCTTCATGTGAGTGAACAGAGACTTTTACTGTTTGGTAGTAATTTTCTCTTCTTTTATTAGAGAAAGAAGAGGTTCCTACAGTCTCTTTTTTTAGTGACTGTTGGGAAATAGAATAACTTATTTATGTAGAATGAAGTGTTAAGAACAACTTTGATTCAAGACCATAGGCTGGAGGATCTTTTAAGTCAGCCAACTATTTCTTTAAGTAATGCTTCAGAAATATTAGTTTATTCATGAAAAAGCACGCAACTGCTCCATTGTGAAATGTAATGAACACTTTTATCAAGCAGAACTTATTCATCTTAATCGACAGCCCTTTTTCTGAGATGCTGTCTTAGAAAATTTATAAGAGAAATTTTCTTCACATTTTAAAACTAATATTGAGAATTTGAAACATGGAAAATAGGTAATATTATGTAAGATATGGTCAATTATATATATTATCAACTTTAACCATCAATCTTTTTGCATGTGCTTTGTGTAAGCAGATATAGTTCTGCCCCAACACTCTGCCCTGCCTTGGAATTTTTGAAGCATATCTCACCTCATATAACAGCCCTGCTTGTTAAAACATCCAAATGACCTTGTTGCAATATGAAAACATTTGCATTCCAACAAGTGTTCACTATTTGCTTTTAAGATCTCATGAAATCCAGAAATCTCATCAGTTTACATTTCATTCCTCTTAATGTGGACATCCTAATAACCTTACCATTTGATAAAAGAAATAGATTCTTGAGGATTTTCTTGTTTCTGGTGCTCCTTCTTAATGAATCTCCCTCCGCTAAGGTCTAATACTGACAGTAGAATCCAATACTACCTGAGGCCTTAATAAGCTATATCTCTATAGTTTATTATTCTTTTTTAATTAAGGGAAATTTTATTTTATGATCTCCCAATTTTTGACTTGGCTGTTTGCCACGTGAACAAGAGTAAGTTAAGGTTAAATCGGATGGAGAAAACAATTGACTCCAGGGAAAACTCATCTGGGAGGCAATTCAGCGAAGCCCAGAGAAGCTGGTGAGGTAGAACACTGTATACAGATGTAGGAGGCAGAATGTGGAGAACTGATTATGATTATCACTTTTAGCAAGTTTGTCCTCACGCTCACCCTGTCAGATTCTAGCTGACCAAGAATAAGAATTCTGGGATCAGGGGAGATTAGAGAGAACCCCATTCTGTCTGGGATTCGTCGCCCATTGGGTGAGTTAATGTACAGGGCCAGCATAAAGCCCCAGTTTCCTGCTGCTTGATTAATCCTTGCTTTCCTGTTGTTTCTAGCGCCACCTAAGACCACCAGTGTTCCAACATCACCTAGGGTGTCTACCTCTGCTCCTACAACGCCAGCAACCACACTGAACCTCACGACAGGTAAAGAGATGTGTTTCTGAGCCCAGAGGCCTTCTAATGACAGGGTGTAGGCCACTCAGGGCATTGTGTTAAGACATAACACAATGTAGGGTTAGGGTTTTTCCCTGGGTTTTAAATGTAGGCATCAGAGGATTTGAGAATCTCTGTGCCTTTTGTACCTATAACTATTCAGAATAAGAGGACTTGTAGTGTTTTTGAATCGGATTCGTTGTTAGCCAACTCACCACAGACCACTGCTGTTTGACATCTAACGACGATGCGAATCGGATTCTCAAATGGATTCGTTGTTAGCCAACCCACCCCAGACCACTGCTGTTTGATATCTCATGACGATGGTGTGGATTTGTCCCAGTTGAGCACAAGTTATGAGGAAAATAGAGGAAATGCCCGAGAACAAGGTTCAGGTTCATGAGATTCTGCCCTCACAGGAGCTCTGAGTGGAGGTCCTTTAGTCCTCTCTGAAGTTAGACCCTCCACTCAGCATAAGATTTCAGTGAAGTAAACATTTACTCCTCTGCTATGCAACAGGAATCATGCTAATTCATTTAAAGAATTGTATTACCCAACTCTTATGGCAACCCTATACATTGTCGGTGCGTTTCAATCCTGTTTTATAGCTGCGGGTTCTGGCCGTTAAAGTAGGTGCATCACCTGCTTTAAGCATTGTCAGTTTAATTTTGTTGCATATACACTGTTTACGCATAGGTAGTTCCACCACACCCTGTGCCAGGTCTTGGATTTTTTGAAGCATATCTCACATCATATCATAACATTGCTTGTTTAAAAAATAAAATTACGTTGTTGCGATATGAAAACATTAGTGTTTCAATAACTATTCACCAGATGATTTTAAGATTTTCATGAAATCCAGAAATCTGAGTTGTTTACAATGCTTTCGTCTTCACGTGGACATCCTAATGCTCATATCATTTGAAATAGGTGGATTCTTGAGGATTTTCTGGTTTCTGGTACCCCTTTCTTAATGAATCTCCTTCCACAGAGGTTGTATATTCACAATAGAACTCAGTACCTGTTGCCTTAGTAAGCTATGTCTTTATTTTATTTTTTTTAATTAAGAGAACTTTATTCTGTAAAGCTTCTTCCAAGTTTTGGACTTTGCTTGTTTCCTGCATGAAGGTGAGTAAGACAAGGTCAAGTCAGATGGAGAAAACAGTTGACTCTGGGCAAGCTATGTCTGTGAGGCAGTCCAGAGAAGCTCAAAGAGGTTGGTGACATAGAACTCCATAGACGCATGTAGGAGGCAGCATGTGGAGAAGAGATTATGGTTACAACTTTTTTGGAACTGTAAAAATTATTTCTCTTGGTTTTTTATTTTGTTCTTTAGATTTACATGTAAGCGAGATCATTTGTCTCTCTGTGTCTGACTTACTTCACTAAGCAAAATATCTTCTATGTCCATCTGTATCGTCAGAAATGGCAAGGTTTCATTTTTTCTTTTATGGCTGAGTCCAAGAACCACTTTTTTAGCAGTTTTCATAGACCGCGTTCATGCTTTAACCTTCTTTAGAGCTTTTCCTCACCTGCATCTTCCCTCATAGTTTCCTGGCTGCTTGATGGGGAAACTTTACCATAAAGAAAACACGTTCGTTAGACAATCTGATTAGGTTTTCTCCTTTATTGTTCCTTATGCTACTTTCATTAGATTTTTTACATTTCCTTTTTTCCTCTAGATTAGAATTTAAAGTGGAGAGAGGGGATTGGATTGTACCCTTAAAAGCCTCTGACTACACCTTAGCTCAGGGTCAGCAAACTATAGTCTGGGGTCAGATCAGAAAG